TTGTGGAGTCTGAAAATATCTTGACCTGGGTGGTAATTACATGAATATATACATATGTAAAATTTACTTCTTAAGATTTGTGCATTTTACTTATGTAAGTTACACTGCCATAAAATGTATCTACAATAACCAACAGAAATGTATAAACACTTAATATTATAAATTTATAAAATTTATAATATTTTATTTCTCCATCCTTCCTCTCTTCCTCTCTCATTTCCCAGTTCCTTGTTTTCATAAATTTGGTTTGTAGGGATTATTTTATTCTTAAAAATATTGTTATTTGCAATAGTTGATCCATGAAGAAAATATATTTTCAAATTCAGTTATATAAAATATGGGACTGCATAATTGCAAAGTTAATTAAGTGAGTGAGGTGAGCCAGCTGTTGGCTAGCTGGGTACGAATTCTGGAGTCCGGCTGGATAATCCATATCTGTCTGGGTCCTGGCTGCTATTTGGCACTCCCTGGTGGCCCTTGTCTGCCTCAGCATAAATATGTTTGGGTTGATTCTGGGTTCTGTCACCTGGCTGAGATTTGCAAGAACCTCATTGTAAATCATCACCTGCTTCATATGCCCATTGCAGACAATTTAGGCCAGGCAAATACCGGGATGTAGGGACCCAGCTCCTGCCTCTCTCTAATGGAATTGTCTCATGTTTCTCTCTCTCTCCTCCATGACCCCTTTCTCTTGACTCCTGGAAAAGGTTTAAGAACATGGACCCGGCAGACGAAGGACACTGACCACTAACTATGTTAACTTAGAATCTGTGTACTGTGGTTATTGCAGAGTTTTACATGTAAGAATTGGTAAGAAAGAGAAGCTATCTGCATCTGAGGTTCACAAGACTATATATACCTGGGCAACCTAAGAAAACTTACTGAAAAACTACGCTAAACCATTAGGAATTCAGTAAATAAGAAGATGTAAAACTAATTCATAGAAAAACCTTTGTCATAAACGAAAGCCAGTTGGGGGATGTAATTGAAGAGAAGACGTCATTTAAAATACCAAACACACACACACACACACACACACATTTTCCCTCAACATACACACAGCAATAACCTTTAAAAAAAATCACTAACTAACTGCAAATATTACCAAATGTCCCCTACTCCTGAAAACTTGAGTGACTGCTGGTTCTTTATCAATTACAGCTTTAGCTTTGCTCTATTCTCCCACCTGCTAGATAAAAATCATAAATATATCTGACCATGCCCGCAACTTAGATAAAATTCATTAAGATACTCAATTCTTTGAATCCATCTCAATATCACCTAACACATGTCCAAATCCTATAATAAGCCCTTCCTGACACTCACTTACTGAGATACCCACATTTTCCCCTGGTGTGCAGTTTTCCTGCAGCAGAGCATCAATAAATCCATCTTTGTTTGATTCACATGGGTGCTCCCAGTGGTTTCTGACTGACAGACATCAACAGAGCCCCGTGCTGAAACTCCAAGACAGAAAACAATCCTGTTTTAACATCCTGTTATATACAAAGCATTGACTATAATGGTGAGAGTTTATGAATTATTTCAAGAAGACCTGGAACATTCACAAAAATTGAACACGTGAAACCATGATAAAATCTCAGAGAGAGTTTCAAAGAATCAGTATAATACAGACAGTTATCTCTGAACACAGCACTATCAAATTAGAAACAAAAATAAATATGTAGCCAACACCCCTGTGTATATGAAAATTTTAAAAACTTATAAGTCAATTATTAACACAAATATGTTAGAAGATATTTAGAAACGGCACAAAAATACTTATTCAATAGTACCACTATTCTTGAAATACTAGTTATTAAACTTATGGAAAGCAGCTAAAGTTTTAAATAGAGAAACTTTAGCCTAAATGCTTACCTCACAGCAGAAAGACTAAATCAATAACCTAAGCATTTTATTAAATAAATTAGACAAAGAACCACAGACCAAATCCAAAGAAATAGAAGGTAGGAAATTATCAAGATAAGCAGAAATTAATGAACTAACTGAAAAAAAGTAATAGAGATAATTAACTAAGCTAGTTCTTTGAAAACTTATAAAATAGAATATTCTCTGGCAAGAATCAACAATAAAATTATAAAGAAGGCAGAACTAACAAGTTTTAGGAAAATAAAAGTAGGATTTTTTGGCAGATACTGTAGATTAAAAATCATGAATATAAACAAATTTATTTAATAGAGTTGGAAAAAAAATCAGACCTAAATGCTATAATAGGTAATTTCTACAGCACTTTAAAAGAACAGATAGTCCCTATCATAAACCTTCCAGAGAATTAAAAATAAGGAAAATACTTCTCAACTCATTTTATGAATCTAATATAACTTTGATAGCAAAACCCTACAAGGACAGTACAAGTAAAGAAAATTACAGATCTATCTTACCTATAAACATAGATACAAAAAGTATAAATCAATTATTACCAAACTGAAACTAGCAATGAATATTATATAAATCCATCATGACCAAGAATTCGTTCCCACAGGAAAGAAAGGATGGTTAAGACTAGTAAACCAATTAATAGATACCACCACATTAAGGAGAAGAGTCATAAAATCAATAGACTCAACAAAGTATTTGGTGAAATTAAATCTTCATGATTGGGCCAGCCCTGTGGCTTAGTGGTTAAGTGTGCGTGCTCCGCTACTCGTGGCCCGGGTTTGGATCTCGGGCGCGCACCGACGCACCGCTTCTCTGGCCATGCTGAGGCCGCGTCCCACATACAGCAACTAGAAGGATGTGCAACTATGACATACAACTATCTACTGGGGCTTTGGGGAAAAAAAGGGGGAGGATTGGCAATAGATGTTAGCTCAGAGCCAGTCTTCCTCAGCAAAAAAAAAGAGGATTAGCATGGATGTTAGCTCAGGGCTGATCTTCCTCACACACACAAAAAACAAAACAACAAATAAATCTTTATGATAAAAATCTTGAAATACAACAGCAAATTAGAAACAGGAACTTCCTAAAACTAATACAGAGTATCTACCACAATCTACAGCAAACATCATACTTAATGATGAACTTACAAATTTGTTTCCTTTACAGTTAGGTATAATGCAGATGCCAGCTCTCATATGTTCTATTTGACTTGGTCTGGAAGTCTTAGTTCTAGCCAGGAAAGAAAAAAGAAAAACAGTCATTGCTTATGGACCATCTGATTATACACATAAAAAATCCAAGAGAAAATGTAAACTATTAGAACTGTTGCCATGAAAGAGAATGAGAATTTTTTTAAAAAACCAGAATCTTTCCTATTAGTAATTAGTTGAATCCAACCAAATGGTGAAGGAAATTACATGCATGCTGGCTGTGGGGTACAGGAGTCTATCTACCCATGTCAGGTGAGAAAAACTGTGTTGTTGAGGGGTATAGATTTATAGACCTCTGTTAACCTAATGGAGAACACTGGAGGAAAAAAATGGGTTCAGCAGTTCCATCCGTGCCTCAGGAAGAATCATCGTGGAAGCATGCAGTCCTCATTCCTTGTCGCAGCCTCAGGCATCTGGGTGAGAGTAAAGAGAGCACTAACTAGAATTCTGTAATATTGCCTCTCCTGACTAGCAAAGCTAATTCCTCCTAGCAGACTGTGTTCGTTATCCATTTATTGACTCTCAGTTCTAAAATCACCCTTTCTGCCTGCTCTGTGAAAATGGATCTAGGCGCTTTAAATATTTTTGCTTTATTAGCTGGCTCTATGTTAAGCTTTATCAGTGGAGGGTGCTGGAGAGATATTTTGGGAGTAAGAGGTTTTTCTTCCTGGTTCCAGTGACTCCCTAGACAGGCTCCTCCTGCACTATAAGTAGCTTCTCAAGTGCCAGGCTCCTGAAGGGCAGGCAGCTCCTCCAGTGCCCAGCGTCTGCTGTGTACGGCAGCCAGAGGCACCCAGCAGCCAATAGCAACCCCAGGCACCCACTTTTTCCCAGGTGGTTTTGTAGTAGAGTGTATCAGATGCCCTGGGGAGATACCTTCCTGTGAACAACTTTCTCCAGTGCCCTAGATGCCTCAGGGAGACACCTTCCTGTGAACAGCTTTCCCCAGTACCTTAGAGCCTGGATTTTTGGCAAGATCCAGCAGAATGGTACCTCAGTGATTTCTCTGCCATTCAGTGACCAAGGCTGTGCCCTCCAACAAAATCTGGATCTCAGCCCTAGAAGGATAGCTCTTCCTCGGTTGCTCTATATCAGCCCTAGGAATGGTAGCTATATCATATCATATTACATCATATCATATATCATATCATATTGTATCTGCTATATTATGTATTATATCCACTACTCCAATATTCTTTAGAGTTCTTTTTACAATTTAATAGCCAATCTCTAGTTATTCCAATCTCCCCTTATAGTTAATATTTGCCCTGTTCAATCACTGTATGGTTTCTCTCTCCTGATTGAATCCAGACTGATAGACACAGAGGGCAACTTTTATAGAGAAATAAATGTTGCTCTGTGTTGTGCTTAGTTTTATTCTAATATCAATAAGTCAGAGGCATTTTCAAATCTATAATTCCCTTTCATTAATTCATTTGCAAAAGGGACATAATAAATTATGACCATCTCAAAAAATTGAAGCTATTTTTTTCAACTTTTAGCAGAAAAAAATATGGGAAGGGACAAAATACATTGGTGATATAAATTTTTACAATATAAGTAAAAAATACTAGCCATATTTAATCTACTAGCACTATGCCTTCAACAATATCTTTATGTTTCCAAGCTAATCTGTCAACCTAAACATTAATGATTCCAAAGCATATTTAATTGTCTCATCTCAGAAAATAGACCAAGAAAATTGTATTATTAAAATATTTTCATTGTGAAATATAACATACACAGAAATCAGCATAAAAATTTTAGGAATGATTTAACAAATATGTACAGCAAACCCTAGTGTTCAAGAAATATATTGCCAACAGCTCAGCACCCTAGAAGCTACACCAACCATACCCTGCCCCTCCCCCATCCATTCCTGATTATAGCCCCTTCCCTTCACTCTAGAAGTAACAACTCTCCTGACAGTTCTGGTAATCATTTCCTTGATTTATTTTTTTACCAACTATGCATGTATCCCTAAAAATAAAGTTAAATTTTGCCTGACTTTGACCTTTATATTCATTTGTGTTTTGCTTTTCCTTGTTTGTAATATTCATCCATGTTGTTGCATATAACTGATTCATTATCTCCATTGCCACAGTCACTGTTGATGGAAATTAGGACTGTTTCCAGTTTGGAGAATATTGCTACATCCATGTATCCTAGTGTACATATGTACACATTTCTGTAGGGTAAATACCTAGGAATGAAATTTTTCTGCATCATAGAGCATATTTTCAACTATATGAGATAATGCTGAACAGGCTTCTAAAGTGGTTTTAGTGATTTACATTGCCACTGAAGTGTATGAGGGTCCTTATCATTGTACATCCTCACCAAAACTTCATATTAGTCTCTTGAACTGTTGCTAACCTGACGGCAATGTGTAGCATCAGATAGCAGCTTTAATTTGCAGTATCCTGTTTGGTAATATAGTTGAGAACTTCTCCATTTGTTTATTGGCTACCTGAATTTTCTCTTTTGTGATGTGCCTGTAGAAGTCTTTTGCTCATTTTTCTATTAGATTATCTGTCTTTTTCTCATTGATTTGTCAGAACAATTTATAGTGCCATTTGTCAGTTATAGAATTACTCAATATTTGATCCAATAATAAGACAGAATCATACCACACCTAGGAGATGGAATTGTATTCTATACAAAGAAAATCAGAGATGTACTAAAAGGAATTTGTTAAAGCACGTATTAGGCAGACATTTTTACAATCACAGGTTGAGGGAGGACAGAAGAATGACATGAGATCTAGAAGTTAGAAGGGCTTAAAATGTTCTGTATGGTGAAAGACACTATAAAAGTTAAGTTGCAAATAAAAGATTGGCAGAATTGATTTGAAATACATAAATAGCTCAAACAAATCAATAAAAGCAGAGCAAACTATGTAATAGAAGTATGGGCAAAGGATATTAACAGGCAAATTTAGGAATTATTTAATAATGTATATTTGAAAGTTGCTAAGAGAGTAAACTTTAAAAGTTCTCATCACACACAAAAAAATCATAATCAAAACATGATAGATGTTAACTAGACATATTGTGGTGATCATTTCACAATATATACATATACCAAATCATGTTGTGCACCTGAAATTAATATAATCTTATATGTCAATTATATCTTAATTTAAAAAATAATTTAAAAAGTAGATTGGCATTAAGCTACTATAATATGCTCAACCTTGCTAATAATCAGAGGATGCAATTTAAAATAATGAGCTATATTCTTTTTCTAATGTGAGTCTAGATTAAAGAGTTGGATATTAAACACTGCTGGAAAGGTTGTAGGAATATGGGCCTTTTAGAGCTGAGCTGTCTAATATGGCAGCTAGTAGCCACATTTGGCTATTTAAATTTAAATTAACTAAAATTAAATAAAGTTTGAAATTGAGTTGCTTAGTCACAATAGCCACACTTCAAGTGTTCAATAACCACAGGTGGTTAGTAGCTACAGTATTGGACTGTATTATCGTTTCTACCATTGCAAAAAGTTCCACTGAACAGACTAAAGATATCAGCCAGAGAGTGGAATAGGGAGCCCTAGACACTCACCCACAACAAACCAACAAAATACCTCTGTGAGAAATCTCAGAAACCAGTTAAAGGGTTCCTGCACCCCAGGTGAGCATGAAGCCAGCTACATGGAAGCTGGGTACAGAATTTGCAATACTCTCCACTTGCTCTCATCAGAGGTTCTTCCCCCCGCCCCCCCACAAACATGATGCAGCATCTTTGAGAGGAAACCTTCAACTCTGATCTTCTCCTTGGGGAGTGAAAGGAGTAGAACGTAAGTCCAACTTACTTTCAGGTGGTTGTCTGAGGGACCAGTGTCTATTTTTCTGAATTTAGTACTGACAGGAATGAGGGTGCCAGGTTGAGGCATTTCTGAGAACAAAGACATAAACCATGCACCAAGGTGGGTAGCACCACTGACAGACACTAGGTGGAGCCTCAGGAGGGTGATTTTCTACACCACCAGAGAGGCTGCAATATTGCAGACAGACACCAGTGGGAGCTCCTGAGTAGTAGCTGGAAAATCTCTTCAAACATATTATACACACAAACCCAGAAAGGACACATTTATGTTACACATTATACATACACACCCAGAAAAGACTTGAGGGGTCTTCTGATTCTCTAGCCTGGCTGTGTGGAGAAAGTCCACTCTGTATGAAACTAGACAGCAGTCTGGGAGAGTTGTCTGATTCTTTAGATGCCAAAATCCCAAACACAACAACAACACAAACAAGATGTACAAAAAAACAGGCAACCATGACACGTTTAAGGGAACCAATTACATCTCTAGAAACTGAACCTAAAGAAATGGAGATATATGAATTGCCAAACAATTCAAAATTACTACTATAAGGATGCACAATGAATTAAAAGAAAGCAGGGATAGACAACTAAACAAAATCAGGAAAATGATGCATGAACCAATGAGAATATCAACAAAGGAGACAGAAACTATGAAGAAAAACCAAACAGAAATTCTGGAAATGAAGAATACAATATCTGAATTGAAAAAGTCACTGAAGGTATTCAACAGCAGACTTGACCAGGGAAAAGAAGAATCAGTGAACTCAAAGACAGAACTTTCATAATTAGTGAAACAGAGGGAGAAAAAGAAAAAAGAATGAAGAAAAATGAAGAGAGCCTAAGGGACTTATGGGATACCATCAAATAAAACAACATACACATTATAGGAGTCCCAGAAGGAGAAGGGAGAGAGAAAGGGGCAGAGAACCTATTTGAAGAAACAATGGCCAAAAATATCTCAAATCTGAGGAAACAAATGAACATACAAATTCAAGAAGCTCAAAAAACTCTAATTAGGATAAATCTAAAGAAAGCTACACTGAGATGCATCATAATCACACTGTCAAAAGTCACAAATAAAGAGAGAATCTTGAAAACAGTGAGAGAAAAGTGACTGTTACATACAAAGGAGCTCCTATTAGACTATCAGCAGATTTCTCAGCAGAAACTTTGCAGGCTAGAAGAGAGTGGGATAATATATTCAAATTACTGAAAGAAAAACTGCCAACCAAGAATACTACATCTGGCAAAACTATCCTTCAAAAAACAAAGGAGAAATTAGGACTTCCCCAGATAAGCAAAAGCTGAAGGAATTCATCACTACCAGACCTATCCTACAAGAAATGCTGAAAGGCGTTCTACAAGTTGAAGTGAAAGCATGAAAAATAGCAACACAAAACCATACAACAATACATAATTCCCTGGTAAAGGTAAATGAAATAGACAAATAAAGAATCCCATACTATTGTAATGTAGGTAAATTAATAACATAAATCTGGTATAGAATTTTTTAAAGAATAAAAATTAATTATGAATCTGTGTTAATAGATAAGCAATATAAAAAGAGATACTTTGTGTTGTCAATAACATAAAGTGGGAGGCGGATAGAGATGTAAAAGAGTAGAGTTTTTATATGTGATTGAAGTTACGTTGTTATCAGTTTAAAATAGATTATTATAACATTGAGATGTTTTATGTAATTGCAATCATAACCACAAAGAAAATATCTATAGAATATACACAAGGGGAAATTAGAAAGGAAGCAAAACATGTCACTACAAAAAGAAAAACAGCAAGAGATGGAAAAAGGGGTCAAAACAGGTAGAAGTACAAAAAACAATTTAAAAAATGGCAGTAATAAGTTCTTCCCTGTCAGTAATTACTTTAAGTGTAAATAGATTAAACACACCAATTAAAAGACATAGACTGGCTAAATGGATGAAAAAACAAGATCGTACTACATGCTGTCTACAAGAGACTCACTTTAGATTTAAGGGCTCACATAGGCTAAAAATGAAAGGATGGAAAAAGATATTCCATGCAAATGGAAACCTAAAGAGAGAGGAGTGACTATAGTTAGATCAGATAAAATAGACTTTAAGACAAAAAGTGTCACAAGAGACAAGGAAGGACATTATATAACAATAAGAGTCAATTCACCAGGAAGATATAACAATTATAAATATTTATGCATCTAACATTAGAGCACCCAAATATATGAAGCAAACACTGACAGACCTGAAGGGAAAAATAGACAGAAACACAACAAAAGTAGGAGACTTCAGTACCACAATTTCAGTTATGGACAGATAAACCAAACAGAAGATCAATAAAGAAACAGAGGAGTTGAACAACAGTATAGACCAATTGGACATAACAGACATATCCAGAACACTCTACCCAATGACAGTAGAATACACATTCTTCTCAAGCACATGTGCAACATTCTCTAAGATAGACCACATATTAGGTCACAAAATAAGTCTTCACAAATTTAAGAAGATTGAACCTATACAAAGCATCTTCTCCAACCACAATGGAATGAAACTAGAAATCAATAGCAGGAGGAAAACAGAAAAACCACAAATTTGTGGAAATGAAACAATGCACTCTGAAACAACCAAGGATTGAAAGAATAAATCATAAGAGAATTTAGAAAATATCTGGAGACAAATGAAAATGAACACACAACATACCAAAACTTATGGGATGTAGCAAAAGCAGTACTAAGAGGGAAATTTATAGCAGTAAATGCTTACATTAAAAAAAAAGCAAGATCTCATATACACAACTTCACATTACACCTCAAAGAACTAGAAAAAGAAAAAAAAAACTAAACTCAAAGTCAGCAGAAGGAAGGAAATAATAGTGATTAGAACAGAAACAAATGAAATAGAGACTAGAAAAGCAATAGAAAAATTCAATAAAACCAAGAGTTGTTTTTTAAAAGATCAACAAAATTGACAAAACTTCAGCCAGACTCATGCAGAAAAAAAGACTCAAATATCTAAAATTAGAAATGAAAGAGGAAACATTACAATTAGTCACATAAAATAAAAAGAATTAAAAGAGACTACTATAAACAATTATATGCTAACTAATTGGATAACCTAAGGAATGGATAAATTCCTTGAAACATACAACCTATCAAGGATGAATCATGAAAAAATAAAAGATCTAAATAGTTCACGGGCCAGCCCCGTGGCTTAGCGGTTAAGTGCGCGCACTCCGCTGCTGGCGGCCTGGGTTCGGATCCCGGGCGTGCACCGATGCACCGCTTCTCTGGCCATCCTGAGGCCGTGTCCCACATACAGCAACTAGAAGGATGTGCAGCTATGACATACAACTATCTACTGGGGCTTTGGGGGGAAAATAAATAAATAAATCTTAAAAAAAAATAGTCCTATAACTAGTGAGGAGATAAAAGCTATAATTAAAAACCTGCCAACAAAGGACCCAGGACCAGGTGGTTTCACTGGTGAATTCTAACAAACATTTAAAGAATAATTAACACCAATCTTTCTCAAACTCTTCCAAAGAACTGAAAAGGAAGGGACACTCTCAAACTCATTCTATGTGGCCAGCATTACCCTGATACAAAAACCAGATAAAAGACGACAAGGAAAGAAAACTACAGACCAATATCCCTGATGAATGTTCATACAAAAATCCTAAACAAAATGAATTCAACAGCACAATAAAGGAATCATATTTCATGACCAGGTGGGATTTATACTTGGATGCAAGCATGGTTCAACATATGAAAATCAATCAAGGTAATACATCTCATTAACAAAATGAAGGACAAAAACCATATGATTATCAGGGCCAGCCCAGTGGTGTAGTGGTTAAGTGCGCGTGCTCCACTTTGGCAGCCTTGTCTATGTCGGTATATGTAAAAAGGCAACCTACAGAATGGGAGAAAATAATTGCAAACCATACATCTGATAAAAAGGTTAATATCCAGAATAATTAAGAACCCAGGGTTCGCAGGTTCACATCCCGGGCATGCACCGATGCACCGCTTGTCACGCCATGCTGTGGCGGCGTCCCATATAAAGTAGAGGAAGATGGGCACAGATGTTATCCCAGGGCCAATCTTCCTCAGCAAAAAGAGGAGGATTGGCATAGGATGTTAGCTCAGGGCTAATCTTCCTCACCAAAAAAAAAAAAAATCATATGATTACCTCAATTGATGCAGAAAAATCATTTGACAAAATTCAAAACACTTTCATGATAAAAACACTCAACAGACTAGGGATGGAAGAAAATCACCTCAACATAATAAAAGCCATGTATGAAAAGCTCAAAATTAGCATCATACTAAACAGGAAAGGTTTTCCTTTAAGATCAGGAACAAGTGGGCAAGGATGTTCACTCTTGGCACTACTATTCAACATTGTACTGGCAGTTCTAGCCAGAGCAATCAGACACGAAAAAGCAATATAAGGCATAAAAATTGGACAAGAATAATTAAAATAATCTTTGTTTGCAGATGATATGGTCTTATATATAGAAAACCCTAAAGATTCCACCAAAAAACTGTTAGCACTAATAAATGAATTCAGCAAAGTTGCAAGATACAAAAATCAACACTCAAAAATCAGATGCATTCCAATACACTAAGAATGAGCAATCTGAAATGGAAATTAAGAAAACAATCTCATTTATTATAACATCAAAAAAGATAAAATACTTAGGGATAAACTTAACCAAGGAGGTCAAAGATTTGTATGTTGACAACTACAAAATATTGCTAAAATAAATCAAAGAATCTTCAAATAAATGGAAACACATCCCATGCTCATGGATTGGAAGACTTAATATTGTTAAAATGTCCATACTACCCAAAGCAATCTACAGATCCAACGCAATCCCTATCAAAATCCTAATGGCATTTTTTGCAGAAATAGAACAATCAATCCTAAAATTAGTATGGAATTTCAAGGGACCCCAAATAGCAAAACAATTTTGAAAAAGAAGAACTAAGTTGGAGGCCTCACATTCCTGATTTCAAAATATACTACAAAGCAATAGTAATTAAGATTGTTTAGTACTGGCATAATGATAAATATATAGACCAAGGGAATAGAATTGAGAACCCAGATAAACCTTATGGCCAAATGATGTTCAACAAGAGGGCCAAGACTACACAAAGGAGAAAAGACAGTCTCTTAAACAAATAGTGTTGGGAAAACTGGATATCCACATGCAAAAGAATGAAGCTAGACCCTTACCTTACACCATTTACAAAAATTAACTCAAAATTGATTAAAGACCTACATGTAAGAACAAAAACTATTAAACTCCTAGAATAAAACATAGTGGAAAGCTTCAGGACACTGGATTTGGCAGTGATTTCTTGGATATGACCCCCAAAGCACAGGCAACAAAATAAAAAATAGACAAATGGGACTACACCAAACTTTAAAACTTCTGCACACCAAAAGAAACAATCAACAGAGTAAAAAGACAACCTACAGAATGGGAGAAAATAATTGCAAATCATATATCTGATAAAAAGGTTAATATCCAGATATATATAAAAACTTCTTCAACTCAACAACAGAAACCAAATAATCCAGTTTAAAAATTGGCAAAGGACTTGAGCAAACATTTCTCCAAAGAAGATATACAAATGGCCAATAAGCACATGAAAAGATGCTCAATATAATCATTAGGGACATTCAAATCAAAACCACAATGAGATATCACCTCACACCCGTCAGGATGGCCACTATCAAAAGAACAGAGAATAATAAGTGTTGACAAGAATGCAGAGAGGTTGGAATCCTGTGAACTGTTAGTGGGAACGTAAAATGGTGTTGCCATTATGAAAAACAAAATGGAGCTTTCTTAGAAAATTAAAAATAGTATTACCACATAATCCAGCAATTCCACTTCTGGGTATATATCCTAAAGAACTCAAAGCACGATCTTGAGGAGATATTTGAACATCCATTTTCATCGCAGCATTATTCACAATAGTCAAGAGGTGGAAGCAACCCAAATGTCCATCAACAGATGAATGACTAAAGAAAGTGTGGTACATACATACAGGGAACACTATGCATCCTTAAAAAGAAGGAAATTCTGTCACATGTTACAACATGAATGAACCTTGAGAACATTACGCTAAGTGAATGAGCCAGTCATGAAAGGACAAATACTCTACGATTCTACTCATATAAAATACATTAAGTAGTCAAAATCATAGAAACAGAAAGTAGAAAGATGGTTATCCAGAGCAGGAGGAGGAGGGGTAGAATCAGTGTTAATGGGTATAGAGATTGAGTGTTGTAAGATGAAAAAGTTCTAGAGATCTGTTGAACAAAAATGTGAATATACTTAGCCCTATGGAAATATACATCTAAAAATAGTTAAGATGGTAAATTCAATATTATGTTTTTATCATAATTTTTAAAAAGTTCTGTTGAACAGTGCTGCTTCATAGATAGTTTGTAAATGAATACAGGATTTTTAGAGGTCCATTGGATTTTTAGAGAGCTCAATCACTTTGAGCACTTGCTTTCTCTGATCTAACAATTTCAATTCCAGGAATCCATCACAAGGGGCAAAAAATGCGTGTGTATATATGTGTATGTGTGTACGTATTTACAAATAAATATGCAATATAAATTCTTTTAAATATATACATATATTTATATTTGTTGCCATAATATACAATATTTATAAACAAGATAAATGTAAAAATTCAAAACAATGCAACTATATCATCCATACATAAAGGAAATGGTTAAATAGTTATGTGAATATGATAGAATATTATTGCATTGCATGGGGCAATGATCTAAAACTGTATAAATGACTTAGAAAATTATTTATAATATATTGTTTACTGAAAAATAGCAGCTCAAAAATATGTGAATGGTATGTACTTTTTTAAGGTGTGGCATAACTTCTATATTTGATGGCATAACAAAAGATGAAGAAATAATCATACCTAATAGTCCTGTCTAAGGATGGGACTGTATTGGAGAAGCATGAAGGTTGGAGATTAAAGGAGCCTTTCATATCCTACTCTAAATAATTCAGGTTTTTTCCACCTTTTATAATATATATGCATAATTTTTGTAAATAAGGAGTAATATGTCAAAGCAGCCTATTTCCACAAGGCTATGTTGACAGATACTACAGAGTTTAGCCCACAGACTATACCGTAAAAGCAGAGAGTGATGAATTCATGTCTTTCCTCAAGAAATTCTTCAATGGCCTAAAGGAAAATGGTAAAGAGATGAAAATGAAGATGAAACAGAACGGATACAGGAGATAGGTTCCAACTGCCCTTCTTCACTTCGGCTGCTGGGTGTTGCTTGAGAAAATAAATCAGATTTACAGACTGGGGAAACTGTAATTTCTGGTTTCCAACCTGAACTAGGAGCTCAACACACTTGGTGATCCTTTCCTTTTTCCCGTCAACTCTCTCCTGAGTTCTCTTCTTCATCTCCTTTACCTCCACTGCACCCTCACGCTCAGCAGCTAACTTCTCAGGAAAACAGAGCCTTTGGCCTGGCCCTCCCTTATGGTCTTCTCATAGCTTGGTACACTTATGGTACACTCACAGCTTCTCCTGCCTGCCCACCAGCTCATCTCCACTATACACACACCCTCTCCTGGAGGCTGAGCAGGGCTGTCTGCTGCCGCTTTCTCAGCAACACAGGAGAATGGCCAAGACCCTTCCCTCTAACAATCCCTCTTTCTACCACAGAGGACCCTAGAGTGACAGTCCCGTCTCTTCTCTCTCTTTCACATCTAATTTCTTGAAGATGTGGTCTAGATTTGCGACCTCTCCTTCCTAATCCCCCATTCACATTACAACTTTCTGACATCTGGCTTTGCTCCTCAGCAGTTCCTTGAACAATTCTCACTAAAGTGACCTCCCTTTTGCTAAATCAGTGTTTCCTGAACTCTGCTCAGTATTTCACCTGTTGACCACCACACCTTTCATGAAATGCTTCTGTGGCCATCCCTCATCCTCACTTTCTCCTTACGTGGATATCTGCTTCTTCTCAGGTCATTGCAAGTTCCTGGTCTTAAACCCGAGGGTTTCAGTCATTCCTATTTCTCTGCTCCTTCCACACAGTCCCTTGAGGCGTGTCATCAGCTTTCAGGGCTTCCATCAGCACCACTGTGCTCATGACTCCAGCTCAGGCCAGGCACCTCACCCCAGATGGTGCTGCCCATCTTTCTGACTGCAGATTAGAATCCTTTCTTCGATGCTTTGCTAGCATCTCAAAATCTACAGTTCTCGAGCAGGGCTTTTCATATTTCTTCTGCTCACTTAAGACTACTTGTTCTTATGTTGTCTCCTTCCCTGAGTGAGTGGAACCACAATACACGCACTTGCCTAAGCCAGAAAAGAGAATGTTCTTTGTAATTCTTGCCTCTTTCATGCTGAGAGAATCCACTCAATCATTAGGTCTGGCAGAGTCTGCAGCCTTCATATATTTTCAAGCTGTCCACTTGTGTCCTTCCACGGAGAGACAACAGAGGTGACTGGTAAGGAATGCAGCTCCGGGGTGGAACTGCCTAGAAGCGTGTAGCGATTGTGTCATCTCATATCACCATCTGAGCTAAGGTACTGTTTCAGTTTCCTCATGTGTAACATATGGATTATAATAATAGGGTTATCATTATCTGCAAAATAGGATTATTGTGAAGAATTAATAAGCTGATTCACGTAAAGAGCCTGGCACGCAGTAAACCTTCCCTAAATATTGTGTTTCTTATGAGTCCCAAGGCCATTATTTCTGGGCCCACAGACAACATTGCTTGTCTGGATGGTTATAAGAGCTTCTTAACTGGTCTCCCTGACTCAAGCCTGGTCTGTTTTTAACCTTTCCCTGTAATGCAGCCAGAATGAATTCCCTAAGAACAAAACTGGAAATGTTCCTCTTGTGTCAGAATGTCTCAACAGAACCTTATGGTTTACCCTTTCCCCAGGGACAAGTCCCTCCACTGTCTGATCTGAAGTCTTCAGTGGACCTTTGCTGTCTCCTGCTCACCCCTCATGCATACTACAAACATAAACAGCTGTTTGCCTTTCTCTGAAACCTCCTGGGTCTTGCTGTTTTCACAGGTACTTTTTCTCTGCCTAGATTTTCCCGCCACTGCACACACCCCCCCAAATCACGCTGATCCCTGACACCTCAAGGACACACAGCACAAAGAACCACCTGGCAAAATGAGCTCGGAAACTTCCTCTTGCCTGAAGTCAGGCGCCGCCCGGGGCGGGGGTGGGATGGAGAGTCCACACCGGTGTTCTCAGCTCCGCTGTTCCTCTTGCCGGCTCCGCGGTGTTCCTTCTCTTTGCCGCAAGCGAGCCCAGGGGAAAACTGGGAATGGTAGAGTGGTATGGTGGGCACAGTGGGCCATAAAACATCCGATTCCAACCGATGGAAAACTTCAGGTGTGTACTAGGACCAACAGAAACAGACTAAATGGCAGAGGCATAGTGAGCCTTCAACAGGTTCTCTCTTGTTCCTCCTGTTCTCTATGCCTTCTTTTCCCAGGCTGCTCTCTGCCTTTCTCCATCCCTCGTGCCAATAGCCCCTCTTTTCTCTTTTATTCACGCGCACCTTTCCCTCATTTCTTCGACGTGCGCCCAACGGCGCTGACCGGAAAACGAACTAGGTATGGTTCTGGGAATGTCAGCTAGACGGAGCCCCGGAGGCCGGGACTCCCGCTCGCCCTGCTCAGGGAGCTCCGCACTTTGCGCTCCGGCGCCTCTAGCGGCGGTCCCTGGAAGTCTGACTCGCAAGGCCTCAGTGGACTCCCTAGAGGAGACAGCTTGTTATGAGGTCAGTTAGAACCGTACTCTCCAAAGGCCGTCCGCTCTCGATCCTAGTCCTGGCGCTGCTCCTGCTTGACTCTCTTGGCGAGGATTTAATTTTTCACCCTGAGTGGGGGTTTGACTCGTATGAAATCACCATCCCCAAGAAGCTGAGCTTCCTGGGAGGGGAGCAGGCTGTGGCCAAATACGTGTCCTACCGCCTGCAGGTAAAAGGCAAGAAGCATGTCCTCCACCTGTGGCCTAAGAGGTTTCTATTGCCCCGAAATCTGCAGGTTTTCTCCTTCACAGAAGAGGGGGATCTATCTGCTGGAGGATCACTCTTATATACCCGGGGACTGCAACTATATGCGCTTCGTTGAAGGAACTCAGGATTCTGAAGCTACATTAAGTACATGCATGGGGGATCTCCGAGGCGTATTGAAAATTGATGCCAAACACTACCAAATCGAGCCCCTCAAGGACTCTTCCGGTTTTGAACATGTCGTATATCTTCTGAAGAAAGAAGAGGAATTTCGCAGTCA